TACTGTATAACTGAAATTTGCTAAGAGACTAGAACTTAAATGTTCTCACCAAAAAAAAAAAAAAAAAAAAAAGGGCTTCCCTGGTGGCGCAGTGGTTGAGAGTCCGCCTGCCGATGCAGGGGACACGGGTTCGTGTCCCGGTCCGGGAAGATCCCACATGCCGCGGAGCTGCTGGGCCTATGAGTCATGGCTGCTAAGCCTGCGCATCTGGAGCCTGTGCTCCGCAATGGGAGAGACCACAACAGTGAGAGGCCCGCGTACCGCAAAAAAAAAAAAAAAGATAAATATGTGAGGTGCTGGATGTGTTCATTAACTAGATGGTGAGAATCTTTCACAATGTATATATGTAGTAAATCACCACATTGTACACTTTAAACATCTTAAAATTTTATTTGCAAATGACACTTCAATAAAGCTGATACTTCAGAACCTCCTGTCCTTTTGCCATCGCTGGCCTCCTGGACTCCCTCCAGGTACCAGCCCAATCACCACACCAACACCAATCAGCTTTTATTCGATATTTTATCCTTTTCGTGGCTCTAAGCTTGTTTCCTGAGGAAGTTTTGGAAGTTCACTGTATTATCCCCAAAAAGTAATTTCAACGTATGTATATATGTAAAGCATTCCTCTGGAGAGAAAACAACTGGGAAGAATATCAAAAATACATGAATTTAAGTGCTAACTTTCCTCTGTGAGCAGAGATGACTTTTTAGAAAGGTATAAGAGTCACTCAAAATGAAATATCAATACATTACAACACGATTTGGGAAATTCCAACCACCAGTAGCTTTCTTAAAGGTGGGCTAGCTCACTTAAAAAACAATCAATAATCAATAATTAAAAAGAAGTACAATCTCGACCCTGATTGCCTCACTATTCATTTCTTTAGGGAGAAGGCTGAGTTAATTTGGAGGTTTTATCAAAGAGATTCGTTATGCTTCCCCAGCAAAGACTCTTAATGTAAAGTTATGGTGTAAGGGCTTCTTCATCTATTAGAAATCTCTGGTCACAAAGGTATTATGGCAAAGGCTTTTTTAACTTAGAATTTCTCATACTTGAAAACCTTGAGAATCAAAGTTTTACTCTCATATGCAGAGTGGACAAAAAGTGGCATGTAGGTTAAAGATTACTTTCAAAATGTTTTTATTTAAACATGCAGCCTGGTAATATAGGAGCCAGGAGATGGCATCTAAAGTCTCCAATGAAATCATGCCTGAGTCGGTCCTCAGCGATGGTTCTAGAATCTAACAGAGTGACACGGTCTCACTGTGCTACCAGGCTTCCAGTCAGCTGAAACAGGTCACAGTGCTCGTTTAGGATCATGTTTTAGAAATACAAAAAGCTTTCAGCACAGGACTTCCAACATCTGCTAGAAAAATCACTTCAATGCTCTGCAAAGTCTTGGCTACAACAGTTGCCACCACATAATGACAAGCTTGTGACTGAAAACCAGTGCTATCTTTCCCAAGACAGAGGCTTCCAGGCCATCATCCAACACCCGGTGACAACAACTGGCTACCAGGCAAACATCCTGGGAGGAGAATGATTCCATCAGATCACTGGGTGGAGTCAATACATGATGTGACAAACACAGCAGGTATGGCCTCTTTGCGATATAAGAAACATGGTGCCAGAGTCTGCGACTTGTTTGCAAGGGAATCTGGGATTCTGCTGCTGTGCTCCAGGCTGCAAGGACAGTCTAAATGAGCTCTCTATGGCATATGCTATTAAGGACCAATTTGGAGCCCACCCTCCAGCCCCATCACTATAACTCCATGATGACGTTCCATCATGCCATCAGGGACTCCAAACTGTCTTCCAGCTGTTGTTTCCATTTTTAGTAGAGCCCAACCTCTGCTATCTCTGCACAAGTACACAGTCACACAGCAAAGCTGGGCTTTGGTTCTCTGATGACATCACTGGAAAACCAAGCCCAGTAGGAAACAGCAGCCATAGCAAACACAAACCCAGCCCGGGCACACACAAAGGAGCACTGCTTGCTACCTGCTAACACCTCTTTGCCCAGGGCCCATCGTAACTGGAAATCCTGAGCTGTGACAGCAGTTATTAACCACAAGACCCTCTACAAACTAAGACACTAGAATCTTTGACGAGAAGCTTAACTGAGCCGACATCATGTGTGCGTGGCTGTGAAACCACCAAAGAAGTCCAGGGGATAGAGGTGAAAAAGTCTCCGGGAGATTTAGCAAGGGGACCAAAAAGGGATATGATTATGGCTCTTCTGAGATGGGTGGCGCCTAGCATCATGCAAGTTAAAGGGACAACAATGTCTAGTGGATCCTTCTCTGTCAAGGACCACTTCTTCCAGGAAAAGCATCTTGAGAATCTTTGACTTCACCCAGTTCTACTAGTCATCCCCTCTACCCCCCTCCAAAAAAAGCAATAAAAAGATGAAGAATTCCATCAAGGGGTGAATGGATAAACAAAATGCGGTATATAAACAAAATGTGCTCTATACACACAATGGAATATTATTCAGCCTTAAAAAGGAAGGAAATCCTCACACATGCTTCAACATAGATGAAGCTTGCAGACATTATGCCAAGTGAAATAAACCAGTCACAAAAGGACAAATACTGTACGATTCCATTTAAAGGAGGTACCTAGCATAGGTAAATTCATAGAGACAACGTAGAACAGAGCTTTACCAGGGGCCTGGGAGGGGGGGTGGAAGGAGAAGGGGGAGCTAGTGTTTAATGGGTACAGAGTTTCTGTTTAGAATGGTGAAAAGGTCTGGAGATGGATGGTGGCAATGGTTGCATAACACTGTGAATGTACTTAATGCCACTGAATCGTACACTTAAAAAATGGTAAAATTTATGTTATGTATATTTTACATACAAAAAAATGTTTGAGTATGAACAATGGCATCGCTTTTAAGGAAATATGACTAAGGTAATGTTTATTTAATTTTAATTTTTTTTTTTTTTTTTGGCCACACCGCACAGCCTGTGGGATCCTAGTTCCCTGAGCAGGGATCGAACCCAGGCCCTGGGCAGGGAAAGCACGGAGTCCCGACCACTGGACTACCAGGGAATTCCATAAGGTGATGTTTAAATGACCATTATGAACAAGTAAATAATTCACATCAGAAATTATAAGATAATCATAGTCAGGAACACTGTAAAAGAGGAAGATCCGGGGCTTCCCTGGTGGCGCAGTGGTTGAGAGTCCGCCTGTCGATGCAGGGGACACGGGTTCGTGCCCCGGTCCGGGAAGATCCCACATGCCGTGGAGCGGCTGGGCCCATGAGCCATGGCCGCTGAACCTGGGCGTCCGGAGCCTGTGCTCCGCAACGGGAGAGGCCACGACAGTGAGAGGCCCGCATACCGCAAAAAAAAAAGAGGAAGATCCATGTTGATCAGCACCGGTGGACCCCAGTGCAAAATCTGACGGCCAATTCCCTGATTCTAGTCCAATCTCTTGCTTCTGTGGAGGAATACATTCAACTATTTGGAGTCAAAATGCTTCATCATTTAACTAAATCTTAGAACTAAATCTTAGAACTACCACAGTCCTTGTGAATTCAGGGCTCCTATTCGTTTAAATGAAGACCCATTCTCTTTGAACTATCCACCATAACAATGGCGTATAAAGTAAGACCTGTGCTTAGTATCATACATAAAATCCCAAAATTTTATATTTTGGGGTTTTATCAAGTGGAGGACGCTCTACCATGGAAATGTAAAATTATGACTTAATGATCTACTCCTTTGGATTAGTTAAGCATCTTGTGTGTGATAGTCTTTCAGAATATGGATTGTGATGTAATAGGGTCAGGGAAATTAATCCACACCTCAGTTCCCAGGCCCTCTCCCTTGTCAAACTTCTTCATACCAGTGTTTTGCTCTCCAGTTAAATATTTTCAGAAGAAGCCAAAATTATTAATATTTATACTGGACTCATTCTCAAAGCTTCTCCAGAGCACCAAGCCAAGGGATGACTTAGCAACGAAGCAGTTAATCTAATTCATGGAGAAGCTGGGCAGATAACTTGGACCACGAGGCAAATGATTTGGCCTGATCATTCAGTTGGGTTGTTTACCTTATTCATGTAAACCTTGACTTCATTTTCTTTTCATTTTGTGCATCATTTCAGGCAAGGCATGATGTTCTCAAAGAATCATGAGGATTTATTTGGGTGAGGCAGGACTGAATAGCCAATTCAGATTACAATTTTGCTTGAAAAATGTCATTGTCTTTGACATTTCTTTCAAATCTATTTGAAAAGCGGTCTTAATAGGATCATAACAACAATGTGTGATCTGAATCAGACCCTGGATCAAATTTTTGTGGAGAGGGCTATAAAGAATGTTACTGAGAAAACTGGCAAAACATGAATCAGTCTATACATGAGATAATAGTGTTGCATCAATGTTAACTTCCTCACTTTGATAACTGCTGTAGTCCTGTAAGAGAACATCCTTGCTCTTAGGAGATACATGCTCAACAATTCAGAAGTAAAAAAAAATCTGCAACTTACCTTCAAATAATTCAGAAAAAAATTACATGTATACAAATATGTATGTATATATCAAGTGAAACTGATAAGAGAAGCAAGGTGAAATAATAATTGGGGAATCTGAGTAAAGGATATGGGACTTCTTTGTACTATTCCTAACTTTTCTGTAAGCAGGAAATAATTTCAAAATTAAAAATTTACCCAAAAAATTTAAAGCTGATTTAATAACTTATTCATAGCAGTCCTATGATCTACAACAAAGCCAAATTAACATGGTATTATAAATTGTATATCTCAATTTATTTTAATATTATAAGAGTGGCATTATTTACCTGGAAAAAACTACTTGAGCTCTATTTGATTACAACATCATTTAATCTCAAGATTAGAAGGGAATTAAGAGATCATACAACTCAAATAAACACCCGTGTTTCCCAATGTAACACCACAAGAAGTTAAATAATACACAAGGAAGCTGGGTATGAGTCATAAATCAATCACAGAAGAGGTGATCCTACCTTGAATTGCTGTTGATCTCCGCCCAGCCCAGTTTCCATGACACATGAAGCAAAAGTCCACCAATTAATGTCTGCCACCTGAAAAGGATAAGGGCCAATGTGAATTTAACAGGGTGCCATGGTCTCAAATGCCATCCACCCCCAGCAGATCTGTCGAGTGACACAAATATACACATGTGATCCTTCTTACAACTCCTTTCTCCCACTTTCTCCAAATTATCATCCCAATTCTCAGACCCATCCTTCTCAATCTCTACTACTCCCTGAGTCCAGCTGTACCTTTCAGTGCTGACACTGATGTTCTCCTCTTCTTATTCGAGACTTTTCCCGAACAATCTCACCCACAGCCACCACTTCTCTATGACCTCTGCACTAATGGTTCCCATATCCCCCTTCTCACGAGGATATGGCCACCCTGATACCCCACAAGCTCCCGATGATAACATGCCTAAAACATTACCTTGAACTTCCCTCTCCCCATCCTGGTCATTCTCCTACTATCCCTAATCAGCCAAACCAGAAACCTAGATGTCATCCCAGCCCTCCTCTGTCGTCACCTCCCTCAACAACTTACAAAATCCTATTGACTTTATCCCCATAACCTCTCTGAAACCCGAAGCCTTCCCCTCCATCCATCTGCTTAATTCAGACTCTCATCATCCCACACCTGGACCATAGCATCAGTTCCCTAACGGGTCCCCCTCTCTCCAGGGTTGCCCTGCACCATCCATTCTCCACCCTGCAGCCAAAGGGTTTGTTCTAAAATGCAAACCTAATTGTGCCCCTCGCTTGTTTTAAAAATGGCTGATTCTTCCTGGTGCTGTAGGCAGCAGCCCTCGGCCTCTTTTCTGCTGCAACACACTTGGGGTCATGAAGCTCACGTGAGACACATTTCCTCACGTGCAGTTTAGGGGGAGCACAGGTGACAAGATAAACACCCCTCCCTCTCCCACTGCAGAAAGCACAGCAAAATGCCAAATGAGTGACCAGTACTACAGGCATAACTGTATCCTATCCCACACTAATTGCTTTTACTCTATTTTTGGTGAGTCATTCATAAATTTCAAAACCTTATTTTTAGTTATGACTTGAGACACCTACCTCGGAGGCTATTACAGCACACCCGTGTGTTGGGACACGACACTGGAGGACCCCTGGTCTACAGAAAAAAGTCACTTGCATGTGACATAGAAGCCTTCCAGGACTTGCAGCTGCCCCTCTCCAGGGTCAGCTCCTGTCCATCTGCCAGTGGCAGCCACATTCCAGCCACACCGAACAGGCCATAGCCTCGGTAATGTGCCAGGCCATTTCATACTTTTTAGAGTTTGCACGTGCGGCCCTCGTGACCCATAACGTCTTCCCTTCTCCTCCGTGTTGGTGGACACCTGCTCATCCTGTAAGATCCAGGTGTTACGTCTCCCTTGTGAAGACTTCAATGACACCGCCAGGCGGAGTGGACAGATATGGGTCGTGTCTTCCAACAGCTTGGTCTAGAGCAGTGGATCTCAATCATGTGGCTCTTCCCCCCAAGGGGACATTTGGAGACATTTTTGGTTGTCACAATTGGGGATGGGGGAAGGGTTGCTACTGGCACCCGATGAGTAGAAGCCAGGATGCTGCCCCACACCTTACAACGTGCCGGACAGCCCTCCACAACAGACTTATCTAGTGCAAAATACCAATGGTGCTGAGGCCGAGAAACTCTGGTCTAGAGGGAAGTAAGCTAATTAACCAATAATTACAATAAAGTGTGATACAGTCCTAATGGGAAGAGTACCAGGTAGCACAAAACACCCTAGCAGAGGCAGTTAATCCAGTCTAGGGGGTTGGGTGACTCTTCCTAGAGGAAGTAAATTCAAGCAAAAGCCTGAATCCTCTTCAAAGCGGGAGACCCAGAATGGACCAGGGCCCACAGGTAAGAGAGACAATGGCTCCAGCAAAGCTTCTTACAGAGGTTCAATTGGCCTGACCTTAGCATGTGAGTACTCGAGGCGGGGGCTGGTCATGAAGGGCCATATCAATCGTCAACGAGCTGGGGCTTCAAACTGGGGACCCACTGAAGGGTCTGCAGCACGGGAGCGACACTGCCACATTTACCTTGGGGAAAGCTCTGTCTCTTTACAAGGGAGAGAATGTTTGCTGAGAGAAGCAAGACCAGGGGCCAGGAAGCAAGTTAGGAGTTGTTAGGGTGATTTGAGAGATGATAGTGGCCCAGGAAGAGGCGATGAAGAAGGTGGACAGGTTCTAAAGATGTTTAGAGGTCCTAGTTGTTGATTAGACGTTGGGGTGAAGGAGACAAAGAAATCAAGAATAACACAGGTTTCTAAGTAAGGCGACTGGATACAAGGTACCATTCACCGCAGGTAAACTGAAGAAGAAATGAGCAGGCTCTAGGAGGGCAGGGATTTTTCTTTCCTTCACTGAAGTAGTCCAAGTGTCTAAAACAGTGACTGGCATATGCATGCAATCAATTTTCTTAGAATGAGTTATTCTGCCCTACTATGTGCCTCCTGTGTACCTGGCATGGTTCTAGGCATCAGGGATACGCCAGTGACAAAATGGATTTTTTTTGTTGCTTAATTCTAGCATTTGTAGACCTTACATTCTATCGGGGGAGGTGCATTCAGTCTGACATCTACAGAGAAGGAGGGGAAAAGGCAATTCAGGTGAAAACATCACCTTTTCCCACTAACTTCCCTAAGTCCCTCTACCCGGAGAGAAGTGAAAGGACAATCAGGATCAGAAAATGGGAAAACACGGGCTTCCCTGGTGGCGCAGTGGTTAAGAATCCGCCTGCTAATGCAGGGGACACAGGTTCGAACCCTGGTCCGGGAAGATCCCACATGCCGCGAAGCAACTAAGCCCATGCGCTACAACTACTGAGCCTGCGCTCTAAAGCCTGCGAGCCACAACTACTGAAGCCCACATACCACAACTACTGAAGCCCGCTTGCCTAGAGTCCAAGCTCCGCAACAAGAGAAGTCTCTGCCATGAGAAGCCCGCACACCACAACGAAGAGTAGCCCCCGCTCACGGCAACTAGAGAAAGCCCGCGTGCAGCAACGAAGACCCAGTGCAGCCAAAAATAATAAATAAATTAAATTAAATTAAAAGAAAAGAAAATGAGAAAACAATATCCCAGCTTTATTGACTGAAATATACACGATCATAGATGATATTTTTTTTTAAGTTTTGCTGTGAAATATTATGGAGAAACGACGAAGTAATTCTAAAGTTCATCTGAAATAACGTATCAGTGATAATATAAAGAACAAAAATTCAAAAGCATAAAGAAGTGGTGAAAAGTCTTCTCTTCCCTGTCCACCACCTTAGTAGTTCCCTAACGCAACCACTCTTACTAGTGTCTTCATCTTTTTTTTAAATAAGGAAAACATACACACATTTCTACTTGATGGTAATGTACTATACTGTTATGGACTTGTTTTTGTTCTCCATTAAATGAATCTCGAAGACCGTTCCTTGTCAATACACAAGTTTCCTTATTTTTTAACATTTGAATAGTATTCCATTAGGAATACAATATAATTTATTTAATTGGTTCTGTATAGATGAAAATTAGGTTGTTTAAAAATGCTCTCTGGGACGTCCCTGGTGGTCAGTGGTTAAGAATCCGCCTTCCAATGCAGGGGACAAGGGTTCAATCCCTGGTTGGGGATCTAAGATCCCACATGCCGAGGGGGAACTAAGACCCGCAGCTAAGACCTGACACAGCCAAATAAATAAATATTTTTTTTTAAAAGTCATTATTAAAAAAAAATGCTGTCTCGTGGATGGACCTAGAGACTGTCATACAGAGTGAAGTAAGTCAGAAAGAGATAAACAAATATCATATATTAACGCATATATGTGGAATCTAGAAAAATGGTATAGATGAACCAGTTTGTAAGGCAGAAATAGAGACACAGATGTAGAGAACAAACGTATGGCCACCAAGGGGGGAAAGCGGCAGGGGAGGGGGGGATGAATTGGGAGATTGGGATTGACATGTATACACTGATATGTATAAAATGGATAACTAATAAGAACCTGCTGTATGAAAAATAAATAAAATAAAATTCAAAAAATGAAAATGCTCTCTGTCACAAACAGCTACAATGTTTCACATGTATATCTTTGTACATATTTCATTTACATAAATGCAAGTAAACCTCTCAAGTAAATTACTGGAAGTGGAATTGCTGGATTGAAGGATTCAAACCATTGCTATATTCTGGCAAAGTGCCAATCATAGATATTGTACCAGTTTGCCACCCATGATCAATATATGAGAGCACCTGCTTTCTTTCATTCTCATCAATGCTACGCTATCAAATTTTGAAGTTTCATTTTGCAAATCTTGTTGGTAAAAATATACCTCAATACAGTTTAAAATTATATTTTCTTATGAATGAAGAATATCTTTTTATATGTTCAAGAGCCCTTTGTAGGTAGGGATTTTTGTTTTTGATATAAAGGTCTGGTTTTAGTGCACTGGGATTGTATAATTGCTTTATATTTTTTTAAAATAATTGATGTTCTATTCATGGTGAATATTTCATGGGCATTCGAAAGGGGGGCATAATCTCTATTTTCAAGATACAGAGTTTGATATTTATCTATTAATTGTATTATTTATCAAATATATACATATGTTCTAGTGTTTTGTTGGTCCAACTGATCTGTCATGGAAAAATAGTAGTAAATTTGTCTCCTATCACTAGTATGTTCCTATTTAGCCCTGGTATTCCTGCTGTTTTTATTTGACAAATGACAATGGCCTGTTGTTTGGTTGATAGATATTCATCACTATTTTATTTTCACTTTGAACTGCATGCTCCGGCATTATAATGTGTCTTTTCATTTTGAACTGCATTGCTTTAACATTGTTAACACAGCTTTCTTCATTTGCTAATGTTTTTGTCCTGAATTCAACCTTGATTGATATTAAGATCTCTATCCCTGCTTTTCTGTGTGCAATTATGCGACACTTAAAAGAAAAAAAGGAAAAAGAGAAGAGGGATGGCGTGCTGTGCCACATATTTAAAGGCTATAATAATGAAAACAATTTACCACTAGCCCCTTTCCATAAAAACTGACAAATAAGTGCTCAAAAACAGACCCTAGAAAAATGACTTTACATATGATACGAATGACCCAAAGGCAAAAGGAAGGATTATACAATAAAATATAATAAATGGGGCTAGTATAAATAAAAAACCATTAGGGGAGGAATGATTTCTTCACATTGCACCATACACTAAAATAAACAGATCATAATTAAGAATTGAAAAAAGCTTTAATGACTTATAGGTGAATATCTATATGATCTTGTGATAGAGAAGAATAAACATAAAAGCAATGCTAGCTATCACAAAAGAAACGATCAATTTAAAACTAAAATATATTTTTTTAAAAGATGGGGGCGGGGGTGGAGGTTTGAGGTGAGAAGGGGAAATGTGAACGCCAGAGCATTCCATGCTGCCTCTACCATTTCTCTAGACTGTTGACCCGACTCTACATCATTTTCTATCTTCTTCCTAATAACAGCATCTCTCAGTCACAAGATCACACACTGGATTCATCTGTGATTCTCTCTGCTGCTTCATTCCTATGTTCAAACAATGAATTCTCTATGATGTCACTTAAAAAAACTAAATAATCAAGGTAATTATAAACAAAATGAAATGGCAAAGAAAAAATTGAAAAAAAAAGAAATTCCGATAAATATGATAGAAAAGTGGTTGACATCCTTTAAATATGAAGAATTCATTAAATAATTAAAAAATACTAAAACTCTAGTAAAAATAAAAGGGTTAAAAAAAGAAAAAATAAAAGGGTAAAAGGCACAAATAGACACTAAAAAAAGAGATACAAGTGGATAACATAAGAAAACTGTCCAATTTCATGAATAATCTAAGAAATGATAAGACAAAATAATATGATACCATTTTTTGCTCATGAAACCAGCAGAGAGAGGGTAAAAGTAACAGTCATGGTTTGAGTATAATATCATAGAAACTTTCATACACAGGCTGGGTTACAATGTAAATTGGTAAAAAGATACTGGAAAAGAATTTTTTAATATTCAAGCAGACTACTAAAGAAGTTCATGTTCTTTAATCTAAATTTCTTATATAGGAATCTATTCCAAAGAAATAGTTAGAAATTTGGCAGATGTGAATGCAAAAAATGTCTGAGAACATTGTTGTGTTTATACCCCCAAAATGGGACACCATTCAAATGCCATTAATAGAATGACTAAATAAATTACAGGATGTCTATCTAATGAAAAAATCTATGCAGTCATTAAATATATTTTGAACAACATTTAATGATGCTGGTTGGACATTTCCTACAAATGTATATAAAGCGCATAAAAGATACTCACCCTTGGAATAACGTAGGGTAGGTAAATTTCAAGACAGACAGGACATACTGAAAAACAAATACCAAATTAATGGACATTTTCAAATTATAGAGAATTGATAGATCATATAATCAAAGAAATCCCTACTAAAGAAACATAAGTATACTCAAGTTTCAAAAAGGCTTTTCTTATTCCTCCCCAAAAAATCACACACTGGGAAAAAAAATGACCTTCCAATTCATACTAAAGAGAGGGACTAAGTGAAGTTAAGTCAGACAGAGAAAGACAAATATCATATGCTCTCACTCACATGTGGAATCTAATTTTTTTTTAAGTGATACAAATGAACTTACTTACAAAACAGAAACAGACTTACATATATCGAAAACAAACTTATGGTTACCAAAAGGGAATGTTGGGGGGAGGGATAAATCAGGGGCTTCGTATTAACATACATACCCTACTATACATAAGATAGATAACCAGCAAGGACCTACTGTATAGCACAGGGAACTCTACTCAATATTCTGTGATAACCTATACAAGAAAAAAATCTGAAAAAGAATGAATATATGTATATGTATAACTGAGTCACTTTGCTGTACACTTGAACTAACACAACATTGTAAATTAACTATACTCCAATACAATTAAAAAAAAAAAAAAGAGAGGGGGACTTTCTTTCCCCAGGGTCACCAGAAATCTGACAATCTCTCAGTTGGGGACGCAACAAAGTGGAACACACAGCAGCTGGGCCAGATATTGTGGACATCTGACCCCTCAGCATCGTCCCAGACCCCAGAAGTGCCACGTTATAACTGCAGTAACACCAGAGAAAACCAGACAAACCCCTGGACACTGTCTGTTTTCTCGGGGTATCCACTTTAACTACTGCCCAGTTTACCTAAAAATCCACCGCCTTCTGTGTTTCTCTTCAAGTAAGAACTGCATCCTGTTCATTCTTTCCTTTGTTTTCCTTCCATTTTTAGGGTTTTGTTTGGTTTTTGCATTCTTAGGATTTTTTTCCTAACTAATTCTTCTTAGGTATATTACATTTTTAGGTGTGTTTTTTAAGGATTTGTTTAAAGCTAACTCAGCTAAGGTCAACTTGTATTTCTATTACGTCTTTTAACCAAATTTACAGCACATTATGAATGGGAGAACTGTATTTTATCTTTCTGGGTATCTTTTTCTATTGTTTTCTATGACTGAACACTTTAAGAATTTTTTAAAAGCCTAAAAACCATTAAATGGCTTTAAGCAAGGGTTCTACTGATACTTCACATGATCTGAAAAGTGCAATAGACTGGTGTTGGGCAAGTTTACATTTATACTTTTTTTCCCCATGGATTAATCAACATGTAATTCCCCTTGTATGAGCTCCTAAATGCCACAATTATGGTTAACTACCTGTGCTCTGGTCTGTGTTTCCTAGAAATGGACCTTCATTCTTCTCTGAAGTCTATTTACTCACACAATTCAGTTTGTTCCCCTCCACTTTTCCATGATATTTTCTTTGTAAAACTGAGACAGAGAAAGGATTGAGCATGTGGGCCATGACCTACATCATCCTCAACAATGTTCATGATGATAACAAATGCTCATTTATCGCTATTTGCTAATAGTTCTTTTCCAGAGAGCAAGAGGGTTTTATTCTCAAGAGGGAGTGGGGAGAGAGCAGTCAAGACCCTACAGTGGGGGAAGGAGGTCCTGAGCTCCCTATTGCCACTTTGGCTTGGTGTCCACCCTGGAGTCCAGGACAGGGGGTGATGCCCCACCCTAGCCCACAGGGATCCAACATTTCCCTGCATGGTACCAAATCCAAGGCCAGCTTCTCCCTCCTAACAAAACAAAAACATGGTACCACTGCTTTTCTGCCTCTTCATCAAAAGAGTTCTACAACATTAAACAAAATTAAGTTTACATCTTATTTTTTAAAATAACTCCATGAAAAAATCTTGAATATACTGGAAGTGCCTGGGATGGAGACAGAAAAAATAGGTTTGAGAATCAGTGGTGTGAGGCAGAGATGGAGATGGATTGATATCTTCTATTTAAAGGTTTCTGGAACCTTGTGGGGTTCTGGGGCAGGGGCATGTTTAGAAGAGAAAGCAGGATGTGCATGATTTCTTCGCCTACTCTTCCTCCTCGAGGGAACAGGAGCCACTTGCTTTTTCTTTCCCTAAAAAGTGGTCCACATATCCAAAAATTAAGTTCCTGGGAATTCACCAGTCAAAAAATCCAGTTTCCCAGGAGATGTAAAGAATGCATTACAGGACGAGAAATGGGGACAGTACCGTCCAACAAATCTTATTTCTAAAAGAGCATCGTACACAGAGTCGTTTTCTTCTCCATCGTCATCAGGAACAAATCAGATAAAAAGCTGGAGGCAGCATTTGTTCTACACACGATTTGGGGACTAAGCTCGCCCACGGGCAATCATCAGCACCCCGCGCCCGCCTTCCTCACCTTGTTCGTGAGGTAAGAAGCCCGCCCTCCTCACCTTGTTCGTGAGGTAAGAAGCCAGGTAGCAGGTACAAAACGTGAGGCCGACCAGGCACCTCCTCATGCACATCTGTTAATCTGCGCCCCTTCCCGGGGACCCCGCAGGCCCCACGGCCGCCGCGCGAGCCGGGCCACCTCCACCGCGGCAGCTACGACCGCCACGTGGCTGCGAGCTCAGCCAATCCGCGCAGGGACCGCCCCCGGTGCCTGCCTCTTAAAGAGGCCGCGCCTTCGCAGGCCTCGTAGCCTCGCGGTGGGCGGGGCGGCACTCAGCTACCCAGGACTGCGGAGGGAGGAATAGGTCCCCCAGGGCTGCTACCGCCCGTAGAGCAAGAGCGGACAGTAGTTGTTGTAAAAAAAAAAAGTAGAAAATGGTAGAAGTGGGGAAAAAAGCAGCTGACAGAACAGTTCACAACAGTCCATTAGCATTTAAAGAAAATTTAAAGAAAAAATGTCCATAGCTAGCTCTAAGCGGTGGGAGCAAAATGTTGTTTGTGCTTTACTGAATTTTCCCAATTTTCTGCATCGAGTCTGTACTACTTTTGCAAACGACACAAAAAAGCTAACAACAAGAAATGTTATTTTAAAAGAAGGAAGGCTGAGGGGGCAGGAACTATAATCAGTGTAGTTTTTTCTTTAGGAGAAGTCAATCCAATTGCTTTGAAATTTCCATAAAATAAATCCTTCCAGAAGTAGAGCTTCAAGCACAGCCCCTATTCCTAGTCTCTAGGGAGGAAAAATAACCTAGTTAGGCTTCAGGCAGACAGTAGTAAACATGCACAAAAACATACTGAGGGACTTTGTCAGGAACTAGAGGTACAAGTGTCTGCACATATAGAAACATACAGATTTTTAGAAATACCCCATGCACCAGGAAGCCTTCACTCTTTTTTATCTGTATGCCCAATGTAAAATTGCTTATCAAACTGTATTATCCAAGAAAATACTGGATATATTGTCTCCACATAAAACACAAATAAACTAAAAATTTATTTTTCCTTGACAATATTTAGAAAACCTATTTCAGAGCTAAACAGTCCTTACAAAGAAACTTTTTGCCCAATAGAATTTGCTTGAAATAAATGGTTGTTATATACCTGAGATTTCCCTGGACTCTTTTAAGAGGTGAACAAATTCAATTCAGGCCTTATTACTTCCTAGTTATTGCTTAACTTATTTTCTTTGACAAAATTTGCTTAACAAGCAGGAACAACCAGCACAGTAAAGAACCATGCAAATAGAAGTTGACATTTGTAGCAAAAGTGCTGTAGATCTTACCAGAAGTATTGATTTTTCCAAAGCTGCATTATTCTGTTCCACAAAACAAACTAAACTAATACTGAATAAAAATGAAATTACCAGGTCTTACATTGATAAACAACAAGCTGCTATATATGAGACTGTGTTAGACCTTCTATTCACACAAAAAGATTTAACTAGTTGTATTGTTAATTGAGATCTTTGAGGCCAAAGGGTCATAGTCATTAATTTACTTTTTGAAAATTGACTGTTAAGTGCTCAAAAAAATGTTTGTTGAATAAACAAAGAAGGGAGCTTGGATTAAACAATAACTTGTGGGTTTTTTCTCCTCACAAATCTTTTTTAATAATGAATTTTTTGACAGCACACATGGACAATTCTCAAAAGACGGCAGAAGTGGCTGCACACTTTTTGAAACTTCCTAAATTTCCCTTAGGAAAAAAGAATATCAATATCTCTTATGGATATAGATGCAAAAATTCTCAACAAAACACTAGCAAATGGAATCAGCAACATAAAAAAGGAGTATACACCCTGACCACAAGTGATTTATCCCAAGAAATAAGGTTAGTTTAACATCCAAAAATCAATTAATGCAATACACCATATTAATAGAGTAAAGGACAAAAATCACATCACCATCTCAAGTAGAAACAGATAAGGCATTTGACAAAGTTAAACACCCTTCCATAACAAAAACATAAAAAGAGGAATTTCCCTGGCGGTCCAGTGGTTAAGACTCTGTGCTATCACTGCAGGGGGCACAGGGGTCAATCCCTCATCAGGGAACTAAGATCCCACCTACATGTTGCAAGGCACAGCCAAAATAACAGGGACTTCCCTGGTGGCGCAGTGGTTAAGAATCCGCCTGCCAATGCAGGGGACGCGGGTTAAAGCCCTGGTCCGGGAAGATCCCACATGCCGCGGAGCAACTAAGCCCGTGCGCCACAACTACTGAGCCTGCGCTCTAGAGCCCACGAGCCACAACTACGGAGCCTGAGTGCCACAACTACTGAGCCCTCGCGCCACAACTACTGAAGCCCTCACGCCTAGAGCCTGTGCTCCACAACAAGAGAAGCCACCGCAATGAGAAGCCCGCGCACCACGATGAAGAGCAGCACCCGCTTGCCGCAACTAGAGAAAGCCCGCGCGCAGCAACGAAGACCCAACACAGCCAAAAATGAATAAATAAATAAATAAATTTTTAAAAAACATAAAAGAAATTAGAAAAAAGGAAGGGAACTTCCTCAACACAATAAAAGTCACCTGCAGTTAACATTATGCTTAATGATGAGAGACAATGCTTTTCTCCCTAAGATCAGGAACAAGACAAGGATGACCATTCTTGCCACTTCTATTCAACATTGTATTGGAGGCTCTATCCAGGAAAATAAGGCAAGAAAAAAACTTTAAAGGCATCCAGATTGCAAAAAAAGTAAAACTATCTCTGTTACAGATGACAGGATTTTGAATACAGAAAATCTTAATGAATCCACTAAAGAAATACTATTAGAACTAATAGATGAGTTCAGAAAGTTGGCAAGACACAAGATCAAAAAGTCAACTATATTTCAATACACTGGCAATGAACAATGTGAAGAAGAAATTAATGAAACAATTTCATTTAAAATAGCCCAAAAAGGGGAGTTCCCTGGTGGTCTAGTGATTAGGATTCGGCACTTTCACTACTCTGGCCCAGGCTCAATCCCAGGTCAGGGAACTGAGAGTCTGCAAGCCCCACAGCTGTGGCCAAATTAATTAATTAAATAAATAAAAATAGCACCAAAAAGAACAAAATACTTAGGAATAAATTTAGCAAAATAAGTGAAAATTTATACTCTGAACACTATATAACATTATTGAAGGACACTGAAGAAGACCAAAATAAATGGAGAGATACCCCATGCTCATGGATCAGAAGACTTAATACTGTTAAAATGGCAATATTCCCCAATTTGATCTACAAATTCAACACAAAACCCCATCAAAATTCCAGTTGGTTTATCTGTAGAAATTAATAAGCTGATCTTAAAATTCATATGGAAATTCAAGAGACCCATTATAGATAAAACAATCTTGAAAAAAACAAAGTTAAGGAACTCATAGTTCTTGATTTCAAAGATTACTACAAAACCTCAGTAGTCAAGACAGTGTGATACTGGCATAAGAATATATATATATAGATCAATGGAATAGAAGTGAGAAGTAACTCCTCACACTTATGACCAATTGAAATTTGACAAGGGCACCAAGAGAATCCAAGGAGCAAATTTAACCAGTAGTTCCAGGACAATTGTATATCCACATGCAAAAGAATGAAGGTGGACCCCTACCTCATACAACATACAAAAATTATCTCAAGCGCTAAGTGAAAGAAGCCAGTCACAAAAGACCACATGTTGTGTGGTTCCATTTATAGAAATAGCCAGAGTGGGCAAATCTATACAAACAGAAAATAGAATAGTGGTTGCCTGGGGCTAGGGGAAATGCAGAGTGACTGCTAATGATGTGGGGTTTCTTTATGGGGTGATGAAAATGTTCTAAAATTGATTGTGTTGATGGTTGCACAACTTAGTGAACATACTAAAAAATCATTGTATTGTACACTGCAAATTGGTGAATTATATGGTATGTGAATTATACCTCAATAAAAGTGTTATAAGAAAAAACAGACCCCCCTAGCAAAACCACATCCCATGGAGACCATCAACTTCAAAACTAAGGGAACGAGGATGACAATCCTTGAGAGTGCTAGGATTGGAAGTGGCCATGAGGGGTAGCTCTGGAGTGCTGGTACTATTCTGTTTCCTGATGGTTCCATGATGTGCTCACTTTGCAATATTCATATAGTTGTGTATGTATTACTTTGTATGTGTATTTTACTTCAATAAAAATCACACAGTACAAAGAGACAAAGATATGGAAAATATGAAAACGTGGTTAAGAGTCATGGTGGACAGAATGAGCAGGTCTAATTCTATTTAATATGAATTCAGGGACTTCCCTGGTGGTCCGGTGGTAAAGAACCCGCCTTCCAATGCAGGGGACGTGGGTTTGATCCCTAGTCGGGGAACTAAGATCCCACATGCCACGGAGCAACTAAGGCCATGCACCACAACTACTGAGTCTGAATGCCTCAACAAGAGAGCCCGCATGCCATAACTAAGACCTGACTCAGGCAAAAAAAAAAAAAAAAAAGAATTCAGTAAAAAGAGGATACATAGAACGTGAGAGGCATTTTTTCCCAGAACTAATGTAAGGCATGAATCCTCAGATACAGTGAATCCTGAGCAAACCAAATGAAAAGAAATCCACTCTTAGACATACTTACATATTCAAGTTCACATTTTTATTGTATTAAAAATATACAACATATAATTTGTTATATAACCATTTTAACCATTTTTAAGTGTATAGTAGTGTTAATTACATGCACATTGTTGTGCAACAGATTTCTAGAACTTTTGCATCCTGCTACACTGAAATTCTATACCCACTGAACAACTCCTCTTTTCCTGCTCTCCCAGCTCCTGGGAACCACCATTCTACTTTCTTTCTACTACTTTGGATACCTTATCTAAGTGGAATCAAGTACATGTATTTTATTAAAAATTATTCACCTTTTGTTTATCCTTTATAGTCAGAACATTACATCAATTTAAAGAAAATAATGTGCAGTAAAGAGAACAAAATATTTGTTATTAGAAAATGGCAATGGGGAATTCCCTAGCAGCCCAGTGGTTAGCAGTCTTGGCTTTCACTGCCAAGGGCTTGGGTTCAATCCCTGGTTGGGGAACTAAGCTCCCACAAGCCCCAGAGCTTGGCCAAAAAAAAAAAGAAAGAAAGAAAATGGCACTGGGTTGCATAACGTTCAAAAACCACTGTGTCCCA